ACATCACTAGGAAGCCACCTAGCCAGGTCACTTTTGTGGCCACCTGTTGTGTCCTTGGTACCCCTCCCCCATTCTTTTTCCTCATGCCACGTGAACCTGCAGATCTGCACTGGCTTATTCTACCATTTTAAAAATGGGTAGTGTTTGTATGAAAATTAGAAACAAATGAACAGATGGCTTTCTGTCAAGCAAAGAAGTGTTAGTTCTTCAGATATATTCTGATCCTGAGCAGAAAGCAGCAGCAGAAGATAGAAATAAGTGGAAACACTGGCACATGTGCCCTGTTGCTGCCCAAGGTTCTCTACATTGCAGTGCCTCTTATATTTTATTTATAAAATAAAATATTTATTTATATTCCATCAGAGTCAGCATATGTCAACAATTTAGCAGAATACGTTTTTCATTAATATCACTGAGCGTTTCTTTTCAACCTTTGCAACCAAGAAGGAATCTAAACTCAACCCTAACAGAGCTACTGTTTCATCATGCATCTTTCACTCTCGTGATGGAGATATTTACCACTCACCAGATCTCCACATATTTATTTATTTTTTAAAGTAATGTCTACGCCCAACGTGAGGCTCAAACTCACAACCCCAAGATCAAGAGTTGCATGCTTTACGGACTGAGCCAGCCAGGTGCCCCACCAGAGCTCTGTTTATCCTCCATGTTTCTCAACCCCTTACTGAGGCAGAGCCATCATGATTAGTTCAGTCCAGTGAGTGGTAAGAGGAGGTAAATGTGTGTCACTTCTGTGTTAGAGCATTTAAGAGCTGGTGTGCAGCCCTCTCATGTCTTCCTCCCTGCTACTGTAATCTTGGAGGCCATGAGTTGAGCCACAGAAGAATATTCAGATCGTGGGAGAGAGTTGGCCTGGAGCATTATCCTACTCACATCAGGATTTGTATGAGCAGGATAGAAACCTTTATTGTGCAAAGTCTCTGAGACTTAAGTTTGACTCTTCTGACTAATCCAGTCCTTTATCCTTTCACCCATTTGTATCCTATTTTTATGGCCTTGAATCAGGTTGAGGTGCTTTGGACAAGACTAGCTAATTTCTGCTAAGCCGGCTCAACCCAGTCTGCTAATCCTCAGCAATAGCCTGGAGTATCAGGTTTGGGAATCAAAGGGGTAAATTCTTACTGTCTCCTTTACCTAGATTCTCTTGTCAACTGAACACCATATGTTTTGACTAGGGCTTTTGTTAACTGTCCTTAATTCATATATTTTGAAGTGTGTTTCCTTAGCAAGAAGCATAGTGTTCTCCAAAAGGGAATTTGGCAAAAGCCCCAAGAAAGGAAGATCTTTCTCTCATCTGTCCAAGCATCAGTGACTTTGGTTCACTGTAACTTTTGGCTACTTACAAATAAGTAGTGATAATGAGCTGCTTCTAAATGTGTTAGGGAATAGAAATGGTTTAGTAGCCTGTTAGACTAAATGATTTCATGTTGGCAACTGCTCTCCTGTTTAAAGACTGCTTGGCTAGTGGATCTTTTCCCAACAGTACTGGCAATTCTGAATGTCCTCAATAGTTGAAATCTTGTTATCGTGCACAAGTGCACTGAATTACATAAACTGTTCAAAACCACATAGAGCAGATTGGCAGAGGAGGTGGAGAACAATGTTACTATTGTTCATCTGAGAGCTGAGTAGGCTAATGATAGCCAGTGAGGTCAAGGTTAGCCTTCAGAAATGCTATTCAGGATTCCAGCAACTTCAAGCATCTCGATGTTTCACTTATCTGACAAAGTCTATCAAAAGATGAAAAATAACCAAGTGATACTTACACTAGAATATGTTTCAAAGGTTAATGAGTAGTATATCCTGGTCTAACAACCCAGGGAAGATTTTATCTTGACTTTATTGCTTAATGAAACATGGGTTCTTACATCACTCGAGAAAACCACACCTTGGCAATATTTTCTTCCTGAAATTTTAAGTCTGCATGAACTTACCAATCTAACTTCAGAGCTAGGGGTGTCATATAACTTGCACATAAATATGCCAACAGCCGGACACGTATTATCTGCAGACTAAGTGCATTGTATGCACATCTATTTATCTGGGTTATCAACTGATAAAAGCTAATTTTTTCGATAGCCGAACAAGTGTCTATCTTGAGTTCCTCATTAAATGATTTACTCAACTTATTTTGTGATGCCAACGTACACCCTATTCTCTATTAGGCTAGCCCTTAAATATAGTTCTTAACCAAATTAAGGTTGTCAGGTGTTGCCAGCCATGATCTCAACATTTCACACCCAACTCTGAGAGGTTCTGGTAAGTGGCATAAGCAAGCCTGATAGGAATAATGGAGTAGAGAACAGAGACAGAACAGTAGTTGAGTACATTTCAGTTTGGTCAAAAAGCTGAATACACTGAATAAAATATGTGCTTAGTAGGTATTTCTAGTAAACTGAAAGTTGCCATTGGTGAAATACCACTTCTCAAGGAGTCCCAAAGCCTTTATGTTTGAAATTGTCTTTAGCCAGAGTTGAGACCTAACACCAGTTCTCAGGGTCTATAAAGAGTTAGCATAGGGGTGTCTGAGTGGCTCAGTCGGTTAAGTGTCCTACTCTTGATTTCGGCTCAGGGCGTGACCTCAGAGTCGTGGGATTGAGCACCATGTTGGGCTGTAGGCTCCGGGTGGAGTCTGCTTGTGCTTCTCCTACCCCCATTATCTGTCCTATCCGCCCCCACCCCACCAGCTCTAGCGTACCTGTGTTCGAGCTTGCGCTCTCTCGCTCTCAAATAAATAAATAAATAAAATCTTAAAAAAAAAAGAGTTGGTATATGGTTGAGAGGCTTGTCCACTTTCTGGCTATGTGATGCTAGGCACTTAAAGTCTGTTGGCCTCAGCTTTCTCATGTTTTAGTGGTGATAATAATAGTTACCTGTCTGAGAGGGTGATAGTGAGGAATAAATGAATGAATATATATGAAGTACTTGGAACGCTGTCTGGTGCGTAATAAATGCTGCATCAGTGTTTGCTGATATTATCTTAGGGATGTCACAGCCACTCTATATAAGTTATCAAATACTAAGACTGTGTCAAATAATATTCTTAACAAAAGCTGTGTTAAAGTAATTTAATCTTTTTGATCTGGAATAAAAATGATCACTTCTACCTGCTGTGTGTTCATTTAAAATGACTATCCAATTTTATGTGCCTCATGGAATAGGCCCTAAGTTGCTTTTAAAAAAATAAATCCCAGATGGCATTTATCTCTCATAAAATAAAGTCTAGAAAAAAGCATAGCCATTTTAATTTTATAACAAACAAAAAAACACAAAAGTCACGATGATGGGTAAATGGGGCATTATTTTTATGACTGAGTACCGCCATTTTCTCATAATCATCTCATTCTTTGGCCAATAATTTCCCAATTCTGTCGGAACGAAATTAGCTTTTAAGTGTTCAGGGCTGGAATTTCACTTTCATTGACATTTAACTATTGAGTTAATATGTGGAAAGACTATAAAAGACAGGAGATTAGTTTTTTTAATATTGCTTTTAGTATTACTGGAATGATGAACGTGTTCTTTGATAACGGGTGTGAGCAAATGTTTTTTTGTAAAGGGCCAAATAGTAAACATTTGGGTCATATAGAAATACATGAAAGGCCGTACAGCGTCTGTCACAGCTCCTTGACATTGAAGCACACAGAAGCAGACATGGACAACAAAGAACTGAATGAACGTGGCTGTGTGCCAGGACAGCAGGCCCGATCTGGTCCATGGACCACAGTTTGCTGACACTTGTTCTATGCAATTCTTTCTTGTTTTGTTTTTGTTTTTGTTTTTTTAATTTTTACCAGGGTAAAAGATGCATGCATGCATGTGTACGTGCATACTTAGACACATACACGGACATGTACTTCAAAATCATGAAGATGAAGTGTAAAACATGCGTATTAAGTAATTTAAGGAAAATAAATTCAGATCGACTCTTTTGATCTGAACAAGGTGCAGAGCTGCTCTACCATTCTATTTTTGCTCTAAAATCAACCTTTTAATCAAAGCTACCCTTAAAAATTCTTTCAGTAGTCTGAAGTTATTGTGTATAGAACTCTGTATAATAATGTTATATATATTCTAAATTTGAGAACCACTGAGCCTAACTAAAGCTGGGGGGTGGGGGGTGGGAAGAGCTGTGTTCAGACATGTGGGCAGTGCAAACTTTTTTTCTTAAAATAACTGTCAAATTATGTGAGGGATTGGAGAATTCTATTGTGTTCCTTCCCGCCTGCAGCATTTTCCTTTTCTTTTTTTTTTTAACGTTAAGCCTTTCTAACTTTAATATGCATTAACAGACTTGTTTGCTGCTACATATTCTATGTGAATGCTCACAGATTAAGTGAACTATTACATGTAAAAGCACTTAATACAGGACCTGGCCTAGTCAATGTTTGTTATGTTGGAATCAAACCCTGTCTATTCATATCCCTATACATATTGTTCTTTGAAGGGTGTTAGAGAAGAAATGAGCCAACTGCTCCTTGTCTTTCCATGTTTACATTTTCCTATTGGCTCTTGAAGAAGAATTAATAGCTATCAAAATTTCAGTCTTAAGGCCCTTTACTTGGAGAGCGATACCTTCCTTGAGGATATATAATGGATGAATATACGCTCTTGTGAGAGAATACAGTTGCCTGCTATTTATTAGCTGAAAACAATTTAAACAATTTAAAATTTTATTTTTCCTTGGATATAATACTTATGAAGCTTCACTAGAGTAAAGCTAAAAAGTGAGAAAAAGTATGCAACTGTTAACATTTTCATTTCTCTATTCCAAACACCTGAAAGAGCACTTTGCTGGTTGTAAATGCTCAGTGTATGAATATAGAGAACCATTATGAAATTCATCTCATGGCCTCATAGTTACCCAATAGAAAAGGAGAAAGCCACGAGTTGTATTTGGTATTGATCTACATGATGTAATAGATTTTTATGGATCACAGATTAAACGATTGATTTCCTAAATTCTTTTTTTTTTACAGAAAGAAGCCACAACATATTATTAACCCTTTGAGAATACAACATAACGAATTTTGCCATTTTACTGCTTCCTTGAATAGGTAAGACCCTGTCCTCTCTACAATAAAAGAGTTATCCACAGTTGTGAAAAATAACTCTCTGTCGACCACATTTTTAAAAAATCTTTATGAAATAAATATCAATTTGTTTTGATAACGGAGAAATATATATGAATTCTATAGCTAATAGATTTAGGATTATAAAATAGCACTTCATAATGTTTTGAATGATTTAATAGTAAAAGAGTGAAAAGATCTTTTTCACTCTTTTAATGAGAACTGAAAACTATGAAATGAGAACTGAACTAAACCTGTTTCTCCTGCTGTGGGTAAAAACACCAGCAGTATTTTCTCAACACTTACTATGTGCCAGATATGACTTGCATGACTTACTTTACGTAACTAACCCCTGTATCCTTATAAGAACTCTGGGAGGAAATACTCGGATCATCCCCATTATACAGATTAGGGGTTTGAGGCAGAGAGAGGAAGCAAGTAGATGTAAGGAGTTCAGCCAAGGTTTTATACATAGGTCTGAGAGTAGAAGGCACTGGGAGAACACCAGCCCCAGCTATTATTATGAGAGTAACTTCATGTTGTTGTAGAAATGCCTAGCTTTCAGATTCTCCTATGTTTTGAATCGGTTCTGTCCAAATTTCTGGAAGAAAAAAAAAAAAAAAACATAATGGATGTACCAAAAGAGTCATGGCAGGCAACATTTATTTTATGTTTGTACTTATTACTGTACAACTGTTGCATGAGTAAATAAAGGAATGTATATACTTTAGCACAGTTTCCAAACAGAAAGAACTTTTTCTTTTATTTTATATCCTCCTTTAAACTCAAAATTCCTATGTTAAAGCAGAATAATAGGACAGAAAGAATACAAATGAATGACTTTTTATTCTACGAAATGAAGAATGTATTTTAATTTAATTCTTTTTATTAGAAGAACTGAATATCCGATCTTAAATTGGCCACAGCAATATATGCTTTACTGTTTCTATTATTTATCACCTTATTTTTAAGCCAGAAACTTAACAAAATTTTCAAAGAAAAATATAGAAAATATTATAATAAATACTGAAGATCAGCCACATGGATTAAACAAGTGCTGATATTAAACTTTGTTCAGATCTTTTCTGACAAAATAAATCATCATAGAGAGAAGAAAAGTTCATCTTGCTCCTTTTCCTTTCTTTCTGAAAGGTGTCACAGTCCTGAAGGTGATATAACCTTCCTATGTGTGTTCTAATATTTTAATGGTGTGTGTGAAACAACATGCCATATATTTATTCACATTTTAAAAGTTTATATAAATGGTACCATACTATAGACATTCTTTTGCCTTCACCCAACATTATATTTAGAGATGCAGCCATATTGATACATGAAGATCTGGTTGACTCACTTTGTCATAAAGTTGACTCATTGTAATGTTTCAGTCATCTGGTGCTTAGTATTATTAATTACTGCTTCCAAATAACTTTTAACATTTTGAAGATTTAATGCTAAAATGGTTTAACCATGGCTTTCAAGACATCTTTGTCATTTGTGTATAAAAATCCGAAGTTCTTAATATGTGATACTATACCAATTCTGTTTGTTTTAGTTTTTTTTTCCTATTAGAAAAGTATTTCTTTTACTAGCTATAAGGATCTTGCTAACTAATGGGACTTGTGGGTTTTTTAAACTGCTTTTGCTGTAATACAATAAGTGAAATCTGTTTTATTTACCCATGGATGAAATGCTGACTATTCCCAAATGCAATGTAAATACTGCCTTCGAAATTACAAGATACTTAAAAACACTCTCATTTGGCCCATGTCGATTGCTTAGATTTCCTTCAAAAATCATGAGGGAAACTTAAAGAAAAAGGATTTTCTCTACTTTTCTCCAAAATTCTAGTTAATTCTAGCATTTCTTTAAGGTAAAAGAAATATCAATATGCATTAGTAAGATTTATAGACATAGAATCTTTTATAACTTATTTTCTTAAGGGAGTAGATGACTCCTCTGACTCAGTTGGGGAAGAAAGTAGAGATAAACTAGCCTTTGGTGGGCATATCTGAGTAAATGCAAGACTGTGTAAGCCTCCCAGGTCAAAAGTGCAATGCATATTTGCAGATGGGGAAATTGAGGTCCACTTATGTCAGGCAACTTAATCAAGATCATATAGTGATTGCAGAGCTAGATTCAAACTCTTTTCTCTTGAATTCCAAAACTATACAGTCTACAAGAAAAAGAATCGAGAAAACCTACCTAACCTGTTTGACACAGAAATAGCAGTTTCACTTATTCCACTAATATTTACTGGGATCCTTTTATGTGACTTAAAGGGACTGATCTTAGAAAAGCAAGGAAGAGGGGTGTTGGGTGGCTCAATCAGTTAAGCATCTGACTCTTGATTTCAGCTCAGGTCATGATCTCAGGGTTGTGAGATCAAGCTCTGCTTTGGGCTCTGCGCTCAGCGGGGAGTCTGCTTGAGATTCCCTCTCTCTCTACTTCTTCCCTCTCCCCATTCACTCTCTTCTCTCAAATAAAAAATAAAGATAATCGCTTCTCGGCCTTTTGGCTAAGATCAAGTGTAAAAAATAAAGATAAATAAAGAAAAAGAAGGAGCACCTGGGTGGCTCAGTCAGTTAAGTGTTTGCCTTCGGCTCAGGTCATGATCCTCGGGTCCTGGGATTGAGTCCCGCATCTGGGCTCCCTGCTCCGCGGGAAGCCTGCTTCTCCCTCTCCCTCTGCCTGCCGCTCCCCCTGCTCAAGCTTACTCTCTCTCAGTCACTCTCTCTCGCTTGCTCTTTCTCTCTTTCAAAGTAAATTTTAAAAAAAGAATGAAAAAGAAAGAAAAGAAAAAAGAAAAACAAGGAAGACACAGTATCAATCCAGAGAGAGAAAACAGGTTGTTTGGAAATGGCAAAGATTCCTTGAGTAATACCATGAAAGTGACTATTTAATTAGATATCTCTATCTTGCTATGCTATCTTAACATTGTTTACCAAGTAATTACCTTTCTGGTCACCTAACCATGCCAATTAGATTAAACTGAATGGGATAATAGGAGTAAAGATGCTTTGTAAATGACATAATCTTTGTAGTCATTTGCTGTTATTACTAATTATTCTATAAATTTAGAAGTGAATATTTCAAACCTAATACATGTAATTCTAAATGTAGAGCTTGGTATATGTATCTGAAGTTCAAGAGTCTTACTACTTCATGTAATAACATCTCTTTGACACAAAAGCCCCGTGTAAACACTACAATGAGATGAACAACCCTGACAATTGGTTGATTTTCAGCCTCTACTACCCATTAGAGGTATATTTTTTTACCCCCTTAAGCCTCATAGCAGATAATAACAGGACCAAGCTGGTTCCTGTCCAGAATGTGATCACTTCTCATTATCTCTACTTGTGTCATTCGAGTCCACTCTCATCTTGACCAGTGCAGTAGCCTCCTGCGTCCAGTCTTGCTCTCCTAGAGTCTGTTGTTCACAGAATGTGACCTTTTTATAAATCTTAATCAATTGATATGACTCCTTTTTTCAAAATCCACCAATGGCTGCCCATAATATTCAGAATAAGTCCTAGACTCCTACTGTTGCCAGCAAGGTGCTCTACAAGCTGACATCTTTTACCTCCCTGACATCATCTCAACAGCCTTTCCCCCCACTGAGGACAGAAACTGGTGACATTCTGAGCTGTGTCTAGAACAGTGTCTCCATCTTGGTGGACCCTCACTTGCTAAAGGACTGAATAGGTATGCAGGGTTACTGTGGAATACACACGATGTCTTTAATGAACATCAGAGATGGTTGTATGCCCTTTTAAGGGTTCTTTCAGTTTGTCTTAATAGAGTCCATTGCTTCTGGAATGCTGAGGAGCTTTCATGCATGATCTTGACACATGATTTTATAGCATTATGATAAAACTTTATTCTACTGGGGCGCCTGGGTGGCTCAGATGGTTAAACGTCTGCCTTCGGCTCAGGTCATGATCCCAGGGTCCTGAGATCGAGCCCTGCATCGGGCTCCTGGCTCAGCAGGGAGCCTGTTTCTGCCTCTCCCCCTGCGCATACTCTCTCTCTCTGTATCTCTCTGTCTCAAATGAATAAATAAAATCTTAAAAAAACCTTAATTCTATTGATATATAATCTTGAATCTTAATTTATAGTACCAAAACTACAAAGACAAATTAAGCACAAATCAGCTGGGTAGAAATGAAAAATCCATTTTAAGAGCAGAAAGTACTTATTTTATAATTACATGCCATCCTTTATCTAAAGAACAATATCAAGACTTGCTACAGCCTGGGGCGCCTGGGTGGCTCTGTCGGTTACGGTTACGTGTCCAACTCTTGATTTCAGCTCAGGTCATGACCTAGGGGTCCTGAAATCTAGCCCCACCTCAGGCTCTGTGCTCGTCGGGGGGGTCTGCTTGAAGATTCTCTTTCTCTCCCTCTGCCCCTCCCTCCACTCACGATAAATAAACAAACAAACAAATAAATAAATAAATAAATCCTTAAAAAACAAAAAGACTTGCTACAACCCCATATTGCTTAGATTTTGCTTTATCCTCAGAACAGATGTATATCTTCTCATCACTCACTGATGGGTGAATTTTAGCCCTTAAGACAATTTTCTGTAAAATAGGCTGACTTTTTTTCTTTTATTTTTACAATATTCCTTAGAGCAGCACTTGATGGATGTTTATATTGTTGAGAACACTTGGCAAGAGAAAGACAAACAGTCAGACCACAATACCCTCACAGTTAGGGAAAAGAGAAAGAAAACCTGGTATTTTCACCATCCTCTCTGAAAATAAGTACCTTGACTTATGCTGATTACTATCTGATCAGCACTCAGGTCTGGCCCATGGCCCTCTCTCTGTGTGAGTAATTTTAAAGGCAGATTAAACATTCTAAAAATAAACTATTGGTAAATGAGGCTATCTGATGTTTCCTTTATGAAAGCCTCTTCTCATCTGTACTATCAGCTGGCCGTTATACTCCGACCCCAAATTGTTCTGCCTCTTACTG